TTTTGATTAACAGCCAAATGCTTAACCACTGAGCCATCAAGGCTCCTCATATATAGCCTAGTGAATTGAAGTGAATGGATCCTTATGAGGCTTCATATCTTGTGGCCCAAGCACTGTGTTTCACCAGAAGGGCAGACGTAGTCAGAGCACATTGCAAATCATCGGTGAAATATGCAAAACTAGCTGAAGTTTCTGAGTTCACCAGAAGTAAGATCAGTATAGAGGTTATGGAAATAATAATACATCACTATGACAAGGATCATATTGGAGTTAGAAGGTCAGAACCTTCCCGCCGAACAGTAGGTTGAAATATGCTTCTCTCAAAAGCTGCCACCTGCTATTGGAGCAGCTGTGGATTCAGGAGCCTTGCAGGCCCCTGGACTGCTTTGTTTGAGAAAGTTCAAGTTGTTCCTGCTGGGACTTCTCACTGTATGTATACGCAAGCACATGAGCTCTGCAGGTCACACTGTAGTAAAGTCATGGCAGAAGAGATCACGGTCGTTTACAATAATTTTTATTTCGAGATAATATATAAATAACAGTAGGCTTCAGTAATGCCTAAAATGTATGTAAATATGCTTCCTAAATATTTTGTTTCTTTTGAGATAACTTGGGTTTAGAATTTTGCTCAATTAAAATACCATTGTTAAACTGTGTATTTGTTGTTGTTAGGTGCCACCGAGTCGGTTCGAACACGTAGCAACCCTATGTACCTGCACCGCTAAAATGCTATTGCCTTGAGTCGAATCCAACTCACAGCAACCCGATAAGACAGAGTAGAACTGCCCCATAGGGTTTCTAAGGCTGTAATCATTATGGAAGCAGACTGCCACATCTTTCTCCTGCCGAGCGGCTGGTGGGTTTGAACCACTGACCTTTCGGTTAGCAGCTGAGTGCTTAACCACTGTGCCACCAGGGCTCCTAACTGTATTTTTCCATTAATAAATAAAATAATTTTTCAAAGTCACACAGAGTTGTAATTCTATCACTCCAGGGTTAAATAATGATGATAACCCAAGCATTATCCATAATTGAAAGCATAATATCCGCACCCCACCCCACCCCCACAGTATTTAGAAATGTCTCATTTCCGCTGATTCAGTGGATCAAACTGATCAGACAAATTTGCTGTGAATAAATTCCTTTGGCCATTACTCATTATTAGTATAGTTTTTTAAGTATTATCACCTAATTTTCCTTCTGTATTTTTTTTTTATTTCCGGAGCTTGTTGTAAATTATGAAAACTTTTTACTTTGGACCAATGTATATTCACTGTCCTCTGCCCATGTAAGAATCATATTCTATAAGACAAAACTTAGAGTTTCTAAAATTCATTTCCTCCACAGTCACTATAATACATAAGTCAGAAGTGCAGTATGCTTTTCTCCAAAATGTGTTAATCATCTCATATCACTACTTGATTTTTTGAATTTTTTTTTTTAATTTTAACTCTCATATTCTTGAATTTCTTATACTGGTACTATGCTGCCTTTACAGTGGAGTGAGTAAATGGCATGATGAGCCTGTGACTCACTTTTAAATCTATAAAGAGGGCAGCAAATGGACAATTATATAGCAATGGCTATTATTAATTTGGAGAAAACTTTAATAAGTGTGGTTATACATGCCTTCATATTTAAAATTTGTTTCTGACTTATTCCTGTGCTTTTCTTTAAGTATAAAACCATTCAATTTAGACTGTTCTAAAGAACATTATCTAATGGCAAGATGCATTGTTTTATTGCACCTGTCAATAGCTGGCATGATTCTATTAGTAATATTCCTGCTACTCTTAATTTGGTGACAGATTTCAGCTTTAATGATGAATGTCTTCAATATTTCCAGAAGTGTGTTAATTTATTAACTTCTTCCATTTTATTTTTTTAAGTCGTGGTTAAGAATGATAAACTAAGTTGTAGAATAGAGATCAAAATATGTTTTACTGGATTCTTTGAATGCTGAGATGTAATGAAAAACCAAGAGATAATTCTCAGTGCACATGTGAGCCTTTTACTTGGATATACAATTTATGGCAGTGAGGTGGGGGCAGAGTGGACTCTCCTCTGGTACTGTCTATTTAAAATAAAAAACTATAAAAAAAACTGAAATTCAGTAAATGGTAGGTAGTCTTTAAGCACCAGAGACTGTGCTGGGTGGATACTTTATATGATCCTGTCACTCTGTTGCTTAAAATCTTTCAGTGGCTTCTTTGCACACAGAGAATAAAACCCAAACTCTATACACTCCACATGGCCTGGACTCTTCTTAATCTTCTGACTCACAACCACCCAAGCCCCTTGTTCGCTATCTTCTTCCACCCTGGCCCACCTGTCTGCAGACATGCCCAGTTCCTATTGAGGCCTTTTCTTTCTACCTGGAATGTTCTACCCAGATCTCCTGGCTGCCTCTTTCTCATAAGGTCTTTCCTTGACCACAGTAGATAAATCAGCTGTGCATTTTCATATTATCCTGTTAAGCTTTTTGCCTTAGTTCACTTGTTTATATATTTGGTATTTTGTTTTTGCCTACCTCTCCTACACCACCACTCCCATTAGAGCATAAACACCATGTGAGAGCAGGAAACCTGGATACTGTATATTGTTTTTTTATTGTATCCCCAGTGTATAGAACAGTGCCTAGAATATAGTAATTGGTCAATAAATATTAATGAATGAATTATTACCATTTTTCACAATAACCTTGTAAGATAGGTGTGATGTTTATTATACACATGAGTAATGTCTCTTGAAGTCAACTAAACTAATAATATGAATCTGTGGGATTTAGAATTCATGTGACTCTAAAGCTGGTATTTTTTCCACCATTCTCTTTTGATCAGTGGAGATATTACATAATTCTGAATCAGGTCATCAGCTAATGATTTTCAAAGTAGTACAAACTAGGCGTGTTTACTAAATAACATGCAGTGCATTTAGGAAAGCTTGTTCTCAAAAGTAAAATAATTTTAAAATAAATTTTAAAATACTCTGAATTATCCCTTCTATATTTAAAAGCACAGACAAAAAATAAGATACACCTGTAGTCATTATTTATTCTTATTCCTTTAAAACTCACTTGAAATTTATGAAAGAAAGAAGGAAGAAACTATTGTAAAAAAAAAAAAAAACTCAGTGAAGTTGATTTAGGAGATTGGATAGAGATCTCTGTGAAAATGTCAAAGAGAAGATATCCAGTTGATTAAATATAAAATGTTTATCATTTAATTTATTCTTGAACTATCTCCGGGAAGATTAAAATCAGTACTATACAGAGAAATTTCCTTTGTATTTTATTACTGAAGTATTAAATATTACTTGCTGTATTTTCTTACTACACTTTATATATGGTAAATCAAAATGCTTATGTTGTTAGTTAAGTTACCTGTCATATTTTTCTATATGTAGCTTCCTTTGTCTTTCTCATGAAAATTACAGCTGAAAGGAAAATTCCTTGCGGGAGGTGGAACACCCCATCATCTGTTATTTATTAGCATATTTTATTTCTAAATTTCTAGTATAAATCTGTCAGTCTCACACACCTGCACATAGTAATTATTTAAATAAAAATCAGCTCTCAAAATTGAGATAAAAACCTACTTTTAAGATATACCAGATATGATACCTTGCTGTGTCAACTGTACTGTACAAATATTTTTAACATCTATTAAATTTTGAATACTACCATATACCATATTGATTTGAGCACAGTATAAATTAAAGAATACATATAATTATAGAAGCTTACTGTCTTCTATGAACTTTTGATTTAAAATTAGAAAATAGTGACAGATATTACTAAGGGTCCCTCTAACAACATTTACAATTAAAATGTGGAATGGGAAGAATTTAGCATATACAGGAATAGGAGAAGGAATGAGGAAGTCTGAGTTAGTATTTATGATTTCTGTGGTGAGAGGTTAGCAAATTCAATGGGGCTAAGATTTGGATAGTATTTTGGAATTTATGCCTTATTTGACGGGAAGACTGAGAAAGATGGAAGAGAAGGGATTTTCAAGAGGTCTCTGAAGTGTCCTTAGCAAAGATAAAGACTTATTACTCAGAGGCTTTCAGCTGAAGTTAGGGTCTAAAATGAGTGAGGATCAGGTTTCTGTTTAGAAGTTGTGAATGAGCATAGCTTAGAAACCAAACAAAGTGATTCCTATACATAAGTTTGAGACATTAGAGCCTCTGATAATAGTAATACCTTGAAAGCCCAAATTGTGAGCCACTTCAATTTGTAAAAAAGTAGAAAAGCCAGTTGTTTGGAGCCCATGGAGCAAATCATTCAGTTCACTGACTTTTTTGAGTGTTCTGGAATATAGATAAAGCATGGAGAGTAGCAGCAGTTTTCTTCTGTGGGCTTATGACTGGTATCTCGTGTATCTGTGGGAAACTATTGTTGTTCGGTGCCCTTGAGTCAGTTCCGACTCATAGCGACCCTAGGTACAACAGAATGAAACACTGTTCGGTCCTGCGCCATCTTCACAATCGTTGTAATGTTTGAGCCCATTGTTGCAGCCACTATGTCAATCCGTCTTGTTGAGGGTCTTCCTCTTTTTCGCTGACCCTCTACTTTACCAAGCATGATGTCCTTCTCCAGGGACTGATCCCTTCTGATAACCTGTCCAAAGTATATGAGACGTAGTCTCGCCATCCTTGTTTCTAAGGAGCGGTCTGCTTGTACTTCTTACAAGACAGATTCGTTTGTTCTTTTGGCAGTCTGTGGTATATTCAGTATTCTTCACCAAGGAAACTAGTCATTTGAAATACCACAGACTGCCTTACATGATAGTTTTGTTGTTATTGATACATTGAAAATTAATGAATTAATATGAAATTATTCTGTAGACCATAAAGCACCATACAAATAAACATATATAGCTTTTTTTAGTATTATGGGTTAATAATCATTTAAATAAAAAACCTTGTTTTTGTTTTGAAATGCCTTTTTCACATTTTCATATTTGAAATGTGTATTTTGTGTGTACATGTGCTTTCAGATAATCACAAGGACTGTTCTGGTGTGTCCTTACATCTCACACGTCTACCGTAAGTACTTCCAGTTATCCTAGATAAATGACAATGTTAAGATCTTTGAGAACTTAAAAGTGGAAAATTTACTGTATTAGTCATTTATTGCTACATAACAACAAGTCACCCTAAATTTAGCAGCTTAAAACCACAAACATTAATTATTTCACATTTTTCTGTGGTCAGGAATCTGGGTACAGTTTAGCTGGGTCCTCAGACTGGTCGTCTTGTACAAAGGCTATAATCAAGGTTGGGCTGGGGCTGCAGTCACTTCCAAGATCACCCACATGGTTGTTGGCAGGATTCAGTTCCTTGCTGACTGTTGTCCAGAGGTCCCCTCACTTCCTTACCCTGTGGGTTCTTAACAGTGTAGCTCACAACATGGCAGTTGGCTTCCGTTAGAGCAAGCAAGCGAGAAAACAACAGAGGGCGTACAAGATGGAAGCCAGCATCTTTTTGAACCTAATTTCAGAAGTGTCATACCATCACTTTCTTCATATTCTGTTCATGAGAAGTCACTAGGTCCAGCCCACGCTCAAGGGGAAGGGATTAGACAAGGGCATGAATGCTGGAGGAATCAGTGGGAGCCATTTAGAGGTTTTCTTCCACATTCACCAGCCCATAAAAGTGTGTTTATAGCTATTTGCCCAAGAAACGTGTTTTTTAATAAAAATAAAATGTATTCTATTTCTTTTTCTACATTATTTCATTTTAATATTCACAAGAATCACATTTTATAGATATTGAGGTATATGTTATTTTTACAAGGCAATAGTTTTTACTTTCTGAGATATTTGATATGTTACTTTTTTCTGCAGACAGCCTTTAATTGCTGGCATGTACCTTTTGATGTCTGTTGACACTGTTATTCCAGCAGGGGAGAAAGGTGAGTGATGATGTTTGCGTATTTACCATTACCTCATTACCTAATCTGTAGAAGTGGGTTTTGAGTATTTATTTATAAACTTTTTGAAATGACTAATATTTTTCAGTCGCTGAAAAATAAACCAATTCTTTATTATCCTTGGATTTAAAATAGATTTTTGTATTATTACAAGCCATTTGTTTATTACTTTTCCACTTATGTATTCAGACACTAAGACTTGAGGCCCATAGGTAGGTAGTGGGTTACATACGAAATTAAAGAATAAATCTTAAGTATTTTACAGATCAATCGTCCTTTCTCTAGATGCAAAAGACAAACTAAGTAACATATAGTGGCATAAACTACTGCCTAGAATATTAAGTTCAAGAGGCTAGGAAATGTAACACTGACTCAGTCTTTGAACTTAAATATACTGGGATTATTTCCACATCTGGAAAGTATGAATGATAATAGCTGATGCTCCTAAACTTAAAAAAATCTACAAGAGTAAATAATATTGTTTATCAATGTGCATCTAAAGTCCCTCTAAAGAAAGTGGCATACATAAAAAGACCAGACTTAATGGTCTGACAGAGACTGGAGGAACCTCCAAAACTATGGCCCCTGGAAGCTCTATTAACCTAGAAGTCCACTCTTCAAACAAAGATTAGGCAGGACTATAAAACAAAAGATAATGCTTGTGAGGAGTATGCTTCTTAGTTCATCCAGAGGCAGGATGAGAAGGCAGGAAGGGACAGGAACTGGTTAAATGGACACAGGTAACCCTGGTGGAAAAGGGAGAGCATGCTGTCACATTGTGGGGATTGCAACTAATGTCAGCAAACAATATGTGTATAAATTTTTGTATGAGAAATTAGCTTGAGCTGTAAGCTTTCACCTAAAGCGCAGTAAAAAAAAAAAAAGAAGTGCCATATTAGGTATTATTCATTTCTGGTTTGGGGGGGAATTTTTTAAAGTTAATAACTAGTAAGTAATTTATGATCTCTTCATCACCATTCATTTATTATTAAAGAAATATTTATTGAATAGCTACTGTGTGTTAGAGTGTAAGGAAGAAAAGTATACAAAATATCCCTTCTCAACAGAAACTATCAATCTAATTAGGTGTTTGCATTCAATTTTTTGAAAATCTGTTCCAAAAATAAAAACTAGTTTTTAGGTCTTTTCAACTGTCTGAATTTCAAGATAGAGGTAATACATTAAACTTGTGGTTTCACTGACGGTATTTTGATTTGACTGTCGTCATTTTGTTTATGAAAGAAAAATGTGAGGGCTGGGAGTTCTTAGTTCTTAGAGTGGCTGACATGTAAGTGCTTAATGTCTGCTGGGTATGTAGTGAGCGTGTGTTCACTTCATAGGAAAACCCCAGTCTCTAGCATCTTGTGAATACCATTCACATACTTTTAGAAAAGGATAATACTGTTTTCCAGTTGAATCGTGACCTTTTTCTGTTTTCATTTCTAACAGTGGTGAATTCTGACATTTCATGCCATTATAAAAACTATCCAATGCATGTCTTTGCTTATCGAGTTCACACTCACCATTTAGGTAAGAACTTTAAGCTACATGTTAAATGATAAATATGCTTTTTAAAAACTATATGTATAATGATAAATTATAAAAATACTCACTAGTGCTATAAATGTGAAATGTAAATTTTATTTAGCCTTAAATCTGTCTGAATGAAATGGATTTTGCATAATACCTTGAAATATTTTATGCTGTTTCATAATATTCTCATTAAGATACCAAGCATTTTGGGTTCTGAAGATGTTCAGATTCTGTTTTAAAATAAGAAAGCAGATATTCTTCTTTTATTATTGTTATAACACCTTATTGATAAGTGATTATAACTTGTTTTTATTACAGGTAAGGTAGTAAGTGGGTACAGAGTAAGAAATGGACAGTGGACACTGATTGGACGTCAGAGCCCTCAGCTGCCACAGGTGTGTAGAATCTAATTTAATTTTTATAGAAAAAATATTAATCACCAAATAGTAACTTTTAAAAAGCCATCGTAGAACTTCTGTGAATTTAGAATCTAAAAATTTCTGAATCTACCTTTACTGTGTATCTGAGCTGTATAACCATTTTACAACTTCCAGATTTGGTGCTATCCTTATCAGTTCTCTCACTATTTTTAAGCATGTTGTTGAAATCTTTTCTTTCCTATAACTTAATCAGACAGTATCTCCGATGGATGTACCGGTATTACATTTATTTTGATTTTCATGGGATGCGTTTGTTGTTATTATTTGTTCACAGTTTGATATAAAGCAGAATTAGGTAAATTAAAGGTAAACTTCTTTCTTTTTTCCGGAAGTTATTTGTGTGTGTGTGTATCTTCATCTTCTCTACCCAGGGAGCTATAGGCCCCACGTTATTAGAAGCCTGTGGTTCTGGATTTTATTGGTAATTCTAATGAATCATTGTGTTTGTCTTCTTGGCAGGCTTTCTACCCTGTGGAACACCCAGTAGATGTTAGTTTTGGAGACATATTGGCAGCAAGATGTGTATTCACTGGAGAGGGAAGGTCAGAAGCCACTCACATTGGGTATGATTCTTAAAATTTTACTATTTAAGAGATTTTATGGGGCAAGTCATTATTAGAGATGACAGTTATCTTTGTGAATGAGCTGAACCTTTTTTTTTCCTTGTCATTGACAGTTAAACGAACTATAGCATTTTCTCATTTTTTAACTGAATGGTTTGGATAAACCCCCACACGTGCTCATTTTTCCATGCTTCCTTTCTTTCTGTTTGTTCAAGACTTTCAGACATACCGTCTATATATTATAGCTACCACAAGAGTGTATATTATTCTGTCAGATTCATCTTAATAAAGAAAAGTAGAATGATTATAAAAAAAATTTTCTCCAATATCCTTTTTCCCTATGTTCAAATTAAGGCAAGTATATGGGTTCTAATTGGAGCCCTGGTGGCGCAGTGGTTAAGCGTTCAGGTGCCAACCAAAAGGTTGGCAGTTTGAATCCACCACCCGCTCCTTGGAAAGCCTATAGGGCAGTTCTATTCTGTCCTGTAGGGTTGCTATGGGTTGGAATCGACTTGCCTGCAGTGGGTTTGGTTTGGATTTTTTTTATTATATACTCAAGGAGCACCAGCAGAACAATGGTTAAGCACTTGATGCTAACCAAAAGGTCGGGAGTTGGAACCAACCCAGTGGCTTCTTGGGAAAAAAGACCTGGTGATCTGCTCCCATAAAGAGTACAGCCTAGGAAACCCTATGGAGCAATGCTACTCTGACCTATAGGGTCACTATGAGTTGGTATCTACTTGACAGCACCCGACAATAGTATTAAATAATCAGAAGCATAAGACCTGTTTTTCTGTCTGTTAAAACTTCTGTGTTTAATATTTTTCCAGTTATTTAGAGTACTGAATGAGAATAATAATATGCAAAAGGAAATGTCAGAACTTTTAAATATTTTTCAAAATACTCAGCCTCGTTGAAGCACATTTTACAACACTGAGTAAAATGTTGAAGCACTACAAACTCTTTCAAAAAAGTTTACTGTCGTATTTATCCAGTGCTGCTATAACACGAATACCACAAGTGGGTGGCTTTAACAAACAAGTTTATTCTCTCACAGTTTAGGAGGCTAGAAGTCTGAATTCAGGATGCCAGTTCTAGCGGAAGGCTTTTTCTCTCTGTCAGCTCTGGAGGAAGGTCCTTGTCTCTTCTGAGTTCTGCTCATGGATGATCTTCATGTGGCTTGGCATCTCTCCTTCCCCAACTCTGCTTGCTAGCTTGCTTGTTTGATCTCTTTTGTATCTCAAAAGAAATTGACTCAAGATACACCCTACACTAATCCTGTCTCATTAATATAACAAAAACAGTCCATTCCTAACTGGGATTATAACCACAGGCATAGAGGCTAGGATTTACAACATATATTTTTGAGGGACACCATTCAATCCATAACATTTACCTAAATAAAAAATTAAAGGTGAAGTCTCTTACCGTGGTTTTTGTTAGAAAGAATCAAGAAGCCTCCATTCCATGTTAAACTAGGTTATAAAATATTTACTGATGCCACCGGGAAGGTAGAGTTTTAAATCATTTATCTCCTGATCAAAGAGAAGGTACAGAAAGTAGGATCTGAAAATATACATTAGATGCACTGAAGATGGTTCTTATGATACTGACACTAACTATTGCTGTCAGAGAAAAGGGAAACTACTGGTGTCAGTAAAAAAAGGAAAAAAAAGGATTTGATCTAATGGAATAGGATTCTTTATGTCACTCTGAATGAGTTTTATATTCATGAGCATCAATTTTAAGGCAAACGATGGAAAAAATTCTCAATGTATATTAAATAAGTCTCCAACAGCTTTGCTTTTGGATGAATTTGATAAATTTGGGAAAGGGACTTCAGGAAAGCAATAAAATTACTGAGTTACAGGAAATGAGAATAGTAAGAAAAGGGTTGACAAAGTAGATATAATTAGATTTGAAGTAAAGAATCTGACTTTCAGTTCTTAACAGTCTTTAAATATATGAAGTAATATGATTCAGAGGCTATTGATTAGTTGTTCTCCATTTATGTTATTGTAGAGCCATAGAAACTTAAATGCCATTGGATTATTTATATTAACCTTTGAAATAGGTAAACGAGCAACGTAGTAAAATTCCTTTTTAACATATTACATATTACTGGTTTGCAAGTTTAAGTGTGGAATAAGTAGAATTTTTTGCCTAAAAATCTCTTCACAATTTTAGGGGGCTTATAACTTTAGCCAGATTCTACCCTGTGAGTTTTCTGTGTGAAACAATTTCAACCATAGAATTTAATGATTTGTTATAGTACCAGGATGAGAGATGAAAGTGATCTCCAGAGGCCTCTTTCAGTTTCATGAGTCCAGAATAATTCTAGTCTGTTCAAAAATGTGCATTTGCTTTAAAATAATAATACCCTAAAATGACTATACTAATCTGTCCTTTTGTAAATCTCATGTGGGCTAAAGGAAATGCCGTTTGGAAATACAAATGAAATAGAAAGAAATAATAGGAAATTAAGTCATTAGGCAAGTCTATAGTCTGCATTCTGTTGTACATAAGGTCACTGTGAGTCAGAACAGACTTGATGGCACCTAACAACAACAACAACGACATAGCCTGAATACTTAGTTTATACTACAGCAGCAGTTTTCCCCCCAGTGGAATGACAAACTAATAAGACAAGTTTGAATAAGTTTAAGTATGAATAATAATCCTCACACTAATGCATAGTATTTCTGTAGCATTTAATATGCTTTGCAGTTTTAGAAAGATAGTAGCAACCATGGATCTCTGTTTTGTAAAGTAATGGGTACCACCTCCACAGGGTACTATAAGATCAATTGAGAATGTGAACAGTAAAAGCAAGTATTTTGTTATGTCTGTTACATTAAATGATACTCTGAAAATCTCCTGTCCCTCTTTTCTCCTCCCACCTAGCCCTCAACCCACACGCACAGACTTGCACTCACACTAGGCAAAGGCTTGAGCCCCAAATCTGAAACAGATACAAATCGCTCTTATCCAGGGGTACTCTGGAGTATACTGGGAGAACCACTGGCTTCAAGTTTTAAACCTTCTTGTACTGCAGTCACGTGGAGACTAGGTTTACTGGAACACAATATTAACAGTGGCCTGCAAAGAAGATGTTCAGCTGAATGATTCTTCCACCCAGACTGAGCTTAATCCTGTATTAAGCTGGAAATTTTAGAAGGAAAGGAGAAACCCTTGCGTGAGCAGAACAATCATGGTTAGCTAATAAAAAGCACTTTCAAAAAATAGGTACTGATTTTCCTATACCAGGGATTCATCTCAAAATACAATCATTAAAAAATAGGTGGTTTTAAGATAAGAAATATTAATAGATATACTTAATGATGAAAGATTTTTATCCAGATATATTGTATTTCTTTTTAAATAGATTGGTGCAACTTTGTCTAAGATGCTGTTTAATATATCTTAGACAAAGTTGCATCAAAGTATATACTGACAACATAGTACTAATTAATCTATGAAGAAGCAATATTTTGCGTCTGACTATATTAAATATTTTACATTCAGCATGACACTTCCCTAAATTCATTTCAAATGTTTAGTCAAGTTTAAATAACACAAAAAATCGAATTAATTAAGTCAACCAATTAAGCTAATTAAGTCAGCTAATTAGCCTAAAAGTTTCTATGCTAAAATATAAAATTAGTTCTTTGGAATAGGTAGATAATATTTACCTATTGCATTAATTTTGTTGGTCATATTTTCCATTTGGAATGAGTCATTTCATGTGCATGTGAGAATGTCTGAAAAATATTTATAGATACTGGGCACAGGACTTTAATCTGCATTTTAAAGTGTATTATATGCAAAGATAATATTATCAATAATAAGTCTTTAATGCATAAGTTTAAAAGCACCATGAAATATCTAGAGAAACAAAAGTTTTATAACATCTTCTTTAAAGTTTTCACATTTCTTTCCAAAATTGGCATCATCCATCATTGGTTATTTCCACGCCCAGCATCTGTGGACAGTAATGGACAGGGTATGGGAGTGGGTGACTCGTCAAAGCAAGCAGAGTATCTCTATTTGAAACATAGTCATGGTATACAACAATATTTGGATTTTTAAAAATGATACATTTTAAAATACTTGGTACTTAAATCTCTATTATGTATCTTTATAATATAAAGTAATAAATTTTTATATATAGTTTTCAATAATGCCACAGATAAGTAAGGTACGTAAAATTGACCAAACTTATTGTTCACCAGGATATGGTATATTAGGACTAACGTATTATGCCAGGATAAATCATAAAGATTTATTAAGCTAGGTTATTCATTCTTTCTTTATTCAACAAATATTTGTTGAGGGTTTATTCTTTTCAGGCTTACCATACTTTGTCAGATTAGAGGAGCCCTGGTGGTGTAGTGGTTAAACTCTTGGCTGCTAACCGAAAGGTAGGTGGTTAGAAACCACCAGCCACTCCGCTGCTCCACAGGAGGAAGATGTGGCAATCTGCTTCCATAAAGATTACAGCCTTGGAAACCCTTTGGGGTGGTTCTACTCTGTCCTGTAGGGTTGCTGTGAGTCAGAATCTACTAGATTGCACGAAAACCCATTGCTGTCGAATTGAGAACATAAGCACTTTATTACGCAAGAGGTTAAAATTAGTGTACCACTGCAATTTTGGAACATAGATGATGCCACCGGTCATCACTTTGGGAATCACTTTGGGGCTGGGGAATGTTTACAGGGCCATTCCAGGAAGCCAGGACAGACTCTTGAACACAAACTCCCCGACTACTCTCTTACGCTCATAATCATTCAGATGTCTTGGTCCCGCTAGTAAAGTGTAATTGCATATGCTGATCTCTATGAAAAATTAGAGTAGGTGTCAGAATCCTCCTTTAGGAATACAGAAATTGGTTTGTCTGGTTTAAAGTGATATTCTGTTTTTGGCAGGGGGGAGGTTAGTGAAAGATGATGCTGTGATGCTGATAACTAAGGATGATTTGAGTACTGACGTTTTTAGAATATGATAGTTTCTCTGTTGGGAAGGAACTCACAGTTACCTTGACAATAAATCAAATTACAGATGGAAAGGAATGAATTATGACTTTTTTTTTCAAATGTTTTAATGAAATTTTCCTTGTGATGGCAAATAATCTTAAATTATGTGATCAACTCAGTTTTGTATTTTAGGATTGGTACCCTGAATGAGAGGGGCCCTGGTGGTGCAGTAGTTAAAATGCTCAACTGCTAACCAAAAGGCAAGCAGTTCGAACCCACCAGCAGCTCCGTGGGAGAATGATACGGCAGACAGCCTTGAAAACCTTACGGGGCAGTTCTACTCTGTCCTGTAGGGTCACTGTGAGTCGGAATCGACTCAACGGCAATGGGGTTTTTTGTTTTTTTTTTTTTTGGTGACCCTAAATGAACTATATTGATGAACTAATTAGGATGTTTTGAAAATCGCATGTGTTTAGAGATGGACACTTATCTGTATACGTGCATAAAATTAACATTATATATATAATGTATAAGAGGGACTGAATTAGTGTATGGTGAGTATGTATATCTATGGATATGTGTGTGTACATATATATAAAATCTTTCTCAAACACAAATTCAATACATGGCAAGATAATTCACTTTTGAGTGAAATAACATGCAACATTATATTTTTTAATTTTCTCAAATGAATTAAACAATAAAGTTTAATCATAAGTTACAAAAAATAAAAAGCTGTATTTTTAAAAAGTTACTGACTTCCCTTTACTTGCTGTAATTAACTAAGTACATTTTTCAACCATGCGGTTTTGTACCTTGGTACGCAGTATTTCTAAGACAGTAAGCTGCTGCCTTTGTCTCAAGTTTCAGTGTAAACGTTGTTCCAAATGTTTGCCACCTTCTTATTTCATATTCTTCCCCACTGTACTTGGCTGTAATTTTCTTTTCTTTCAACTGTCACTGACTGCTTTGGTGGTGATAGAATTAATTTTATTCAGTAGGAGTAATTTCTTGTCCTGATCATTTTATTGGTTGATTATTCCACTTAGCACACATTTCACAGTTTTGTTCCTTGCTGCCAGATAATTACTTTTTATTTATCTGAAATGAATTCTTTTTACTTTTAGTACACCTTCTTTTCAAATACATATTAAAATAAGGCCTCCAAATATCCATGTAACAAGAAAGCACCAAAAATTTTATTTGGGGGAATGTATATTAACAAGATGTTGTATTTAATTATTTTGAAATTTTGTGACAACAGTTGTTTCTCAAATCCCTAATAGATATTTCTGGAAATTTAAACTGTATGTTTATGTGAATGAATGGATGGATGGATGGATGGATGGATGGAAAGATAGGGAGAGAAGGAGGGAGGGGTATATATAAATAGATATTAGACATATCTGTTATTTAAACATGCTATAAATCATTTCTATAGACAAATCTATATATATATATATCTATGCATATACATTTGAATAGTTCTATATAACTATACTACACACACACACACACACGTTGTGTGTGTGATTGGTGTTATCCAAAAATATTAATAGGTTTTTACCTACGTCTACAGACTATTCAGAATTGACTCAACAACAATGGGTTTGGTTTTTTTTTTGGTTTATAGACTATTAACCTATAGTGAAGGAACCTTTTTGATTTGTCATTCCTAAACAATGCTAGGATTATGTTTCAACCAGTGTAAGAGTAAGTCATAAGAATTATAGTACAGCTTATCTTAAATTATGTCATAGAACATGCAGCTAGTCAAAGGAGCCTGGTCAAACTAATTTGGCAGTCGGCCGCCTACTGTATCCCCCCAGAGAGCAGCATAGCACCTTATGTATTAAAGACTCTGAGGACTCCTGAAGTACAGAATATTGTTTAACTTGTGTAAAGCAACATTTTCATATTTGGTTACAGAACAACTTTTTCTCATCTATAAGCATTTCAAAGACCAACGTTCCATGGTACACCAAAAACACAATACAATATTTTAATATATATAAAAGAAGTTCCACGATAATAGTTTTAGAAATGGTACTCTAGAAGAAAATTACAAAGAGTAAAATAATTCTAGAACTCTCTGTCTATATATTTTATAAACATACCCATAAAAACTCATTGCCGTTGATTCCGACTCATAGTGACCCTATAAGGACAGAGTAGAACTGCCCCATAGGGTTTCCAAGGAGCAGCTAGTGGATTCAAACTGCTGACCTTTTGGTTAGCAGCCAAGCTCTTAACCACTGTGCCACCAGGGCTCCTTATAAACATAATAAGAATGCACAGAAAAAAAACTTCATTTATGTAACAGAAGACACACTGGCCCAGGGAACCAACAACATCTAGACCAGCAGTTATAGTTACTTTTGTTTTGTTTTTTAATGATGAGGAAAGAGATCAGGATGCTGGTTGTATTACATATACTAATGTTTATATGTATATGTCCCCTGGTCCAAGCATGGACATGATATTCCCAAACATAAAATATGGGAGCTACTGTCCATGGATTAATTGCAGGTTTTGTGAATTATACAGTCCCTGAAATTTATGAAAGTAGAAGCCTGCATGATTATTTTGCTTTCACTCTCTGCAAGATGATTCAAGGTTTTCAAAACTGGAGTCATATCTTAAATTCCTTTTCTCTCCTTTGCTCCCTCTCAATCTATACATACTTTCTCCTTCTGAACAGGGAGAGAAAGGATAATAATAATAGCCATTCCTTTTATACCACATAATTTTTTGACCAACACCAAAACTGTTAAAATGTAGTTCTTAGAAATGGTGTTTTGACACTACAAAGACATGTATAGCAAACAGGTGTGTGTTTGGGGTTGCACTTCACTATTTGCTTATATTTCACAGAAGAGGCAATTACACAGATACGTATCAGATTCAAAAAGTGAGAAGCCAAATGATTTTTAAAACATACACAGAGCTTCCCATGGCAGGGGCTTGTTCCTGTGGTCTCTCAGAGGCTCTGCATTTTCAAAGCTTAGAGAAACCAAATGCCTGTTTGGAAAAGGTTTTTTTTCCCTTTCCCTTGCTGATTTCATTACTGTTGCTATGGTGAAGAAGTGAATGTTGCATGACGCTGCTGGAAAAGTCAACACTGACGTTTTTCGGTACAGCAAATAGTCCACCTCATTGCTTGTTTTTTATTAGTGGAGGATTGCTAAAAAAATGTCAGCTCTAATACTAAAAAGGAAGTGTTCTTTGTCCAAGCTACTTTGGTATATAAAAGTTTTGTGAAGGTGTACCTAAACACCTCCTTCCTAATAATAGTAAAGAGAATGAAATACATATACTTTGTGTAAACTGAGGAAGAAGAAAACATAGTTTGTAAACTCTTAGGGATTATTTATATTATTGGGATTTTTTTTCTTGGAAATGTCTGTTTCGCTGTTTTAAAATCTGTTTTTTATCACTGAGTCATTCGGTTGTTATACAGCACTGCCCCATTCATGTCCGAGCCCTGAGAAGAGAGAAGTGCTGATTTCATTTTGTATCACTCCTGAGACATTGTTCTCTCCTCAGCGATAGACGCCCAGTTACCAAGTCAGATATCAGGGATACACTTAGTATGTTTTAGCATTAACATACAGTTCTAGATTCATCTGATCATGAGGAAGGGGACAGTTAACCAAAAACAAGGTTCCAGACTCACTTTGTTAAGTAAAAGAAACCATTTTTAAAGACTTGTAAATAATATATATGTCAGTTGAAGTATTCTGAATTTTATTGTTATTAAGTAAATAATTAAGATTTTATATGAGAAAAGTACTTTGCCCAATTTATGAGTTTTAGCAAATGAAGAAGGACTAAGGAGTAAAAGAATTTAGAAGAGAAAAGAAAATATCTCTCAGGTATTTAAAAATGCCCATCTCTGGTATTTGGTGATATCCGTGGAGTGACTGCAGACTGATATTCCATTATTAAGTGGAAATATGGCTGTCTTTGACAATGTGCTTTTGATGTTGAAATCTCTGATGGGTTTTAATGAAAGCTGTAAAATAAATGCACATTTCCACCTTTGAATCCACTGCTGGCAGATTTACTGGTCTCATTTTCTTGCGTTAAGAACGTGGTTTATGTGAATGGCTGATATGTTGTGTCTACTTTTTTCTTTTTTCTTTTTTTGCCTGTAGTGGCACATCTACTGATGAAATGTGCAACTTATACATTATGTATTACATGGAAGCCAAGCATGCTGTTTCATTTATGACCTGTACACAGAATGTAGCCCCGGACATGTTCAGAACCATACCACGAGAGGCCAATATTCCAATTCCTGTGAAGTCTGATGTGATTATGACCCATGGCCATCACAAAGGTAAAACTGGTGTTTAATTTAAAGTAGCATATCATTTTGTATTTCATTTACTTACTTATGTATTTTACTTGACTGTATGATTAATATTTCAAATCATCTTTATTCCTTTCTTATCTCAATCACCTGTACACACATACTCTTATTCCCTTTTTTCTCTTTTTTGTATCCTATCTTCCCTTTCTGGTGTACTCCCATCGAAACAGTGAACGAGAAAAATTTCAGTCAATGTTCAAAAGGATTAGTTTTGGGACCAACACCATAAATGTAGACTTTTCATCATTTAATTCATGTTTTCAAGTTTTCCCGTCTCATTCCTCCCGTAACCAGTAATGACCTATGCAATTTATGAATTTATGTACCATGTTCTAAAGAGCGTTACAGTTTGCGAAGGAAAATGGTTATCATTTCCAACCATACCTTAAATTATCTGTTTAATGGGCTCCTTCAAGCAAAGAACAATTCTTGATTTATGAGGCCTGTTTTGGCCTTTTGGGTCTCACTCTCAAAATTGTTCATCTACAAAATGGTCTTACTGACTGTCTTTCTTTAGCTTAAAGTTGCAAAACCTGAGCCTTGTTTTATTGAATAAAGTATGTTGGTTCTTTGCTGATTTTTACAAGTTCAATCTTAAAATGCCAAAGAAGCTTCTCATTTCTTTCCAGTGGAGATTTTATGAGAGAAATTAGCATAGCAATAAGGTCAGTTATTAGAATAAATAAATTTATAGAATATGCCTTAAAATGTTATTAAAACATCCTTGAATATTGCTAAATTCAATTAAAAAATAAATATCAGCAGCTTCGTTCAGGCCTTTTAAAATTATATATCATATATATGTGTGTGTATATATATGTATATATAAAATATTATATATGTATATATAAAATATTATATATAT